GGAGACACAGTGGATAAACAAACAGGATTATTGCGGTTGGTGGCAAGCACAATAAAGAGAAACAAAGCAGGTTAATGGTGGAGAGAGAGTCAGGGAGGGGAAAGGAATTCTTTAATGAGGCAGTCAGGGAAAGTTTCCTTGAGAAGGGACTATAGCATCTGGCCTATAGACCTGGCCCCACCAAGGTCTGCAGGAAGTACGTTCCAGGCAGGGAGAGCAGCACGTACAAAGGCCCTGAGGTGGGAAGGGAAAGGAGGTCAGAGTAGCTGGAGGCAAGTGAGGAGTGGGAAGAGAGGGGTTTGGAGAGGAAGGTGGGGGTTCAGATCAGCAGAACCTAGAGAGCACAGAAAGGGCTTTGGATGCTGGCTGAGGGTATTTTAAATTCTCTTAGGAGTCATGCATTGTGTTAAACACAGACAATAAAATGATGAGCAAAAGTAGATGCTGTCCAATTCTCCTGGTGCTCAGATTCCAGGTAACCAACTGCCTCTCTCTGCCAAGCTGCCTCTGTTTGTCTACCTCCAGTGACGGGGAGCTCATCACCTAGCAAGGTAGGCCACTTTTTCTTGGCATAGTTCTAATGGTTTGGTGCCCTTCCCTAAATTGCCTTCTGTGGTCTTTCACTTTCACTCAGTGGCTTGGGGAGGAAATAGGGAGTCATCACCCCCTTCTGTCTACCAGGTGCTAGGCATCAGGGACACAAAGGAGCATAAAAGAGGTCCTCACTGGTAAATAGCTGATGGTCTTTTAGGAGAGGTGAGATCTGCTCAGATCTCATATAGCATATTATCCTGTGCTGTAATATTAATTCTCAAGGCCAGGTTGCCTAAAGCTTGGAGAAGAAGGAAAAAATGAGAGCAATTCTCATTTAGATAAACCAAGGAGGGCACTCTGGAAGAAGGGTATTTTAGCCAGCTGGAGGGCAGAAGGACCCAGACAAGGAGTGGGGTGGGGTCTTCTCCCCAGGAGGATTTGGCAGGGCTGCTGTTTGGCTCAGGGTGAGACCCAGCTGTGCATGGGAAGCGTGCTCTGAGCGGGTCAGAATGATGCTTTGAGCAGTGAACTCATGTCCCCTACTTCCCCATCCTTCCTCCATTTTAGGTGGCATAGGAAGTATTCTGTATTTCTGCCTTAAGAGTGGTTGTACCAGCAAAAGAAGAATAAGAAAGCATCAGATTTGTGGTTTTTGGATTTCAAAGGTTTATTCTATGGCACTGGAATCTAGCTTTTGAACCTCGAAAGTCTAAGTCTTGAAGGGCCCAGGGCACAAAATTTAGAATATGATTGGCAACATGGAATACTGTTATGAGTCACAGATGTTGCCACCCGGGGATAGAGGGCAGTTCCTGGGCTGGGGGCACAGAGAGAGGGGATGGGAGAAAGGCGAGTATCCCATGGAGGGCAGTAGGAACCCTACCTAGTAATAGGGAAGCTATTGGTGAACAAAGACAGAGTAGGGTGATAAAAGCAATGGCTGATATCTCATAAATGTCCTGTTACATGAGTCTGTGCATTTGTTCCCACCTCCTGCTTTCCTTGTGGCTAACCAGAGCTTCTTCAGGTGAGTCCAGGGTCTACTGGAGAACTCTCTCTTCCGGTGCAATTGCTGAGCCATACCAAGGGGAGAGCCTGCCTAAGAAAAAAGTCAAACAAGTAGAAAGTTGACTTGAAAGATGTAGGTAGCTTCTTGTTGGCATTGTTAAGCTCCTGGATCCAGCCATACCTGAAGGTATCACTTCAAGAATTTTTCAGGTATGAGAGAGCCCAAATGATGGTTCTTCTTTGCTCATTGCTTGAGCTACTATGAGTTGGGTTTCTGTCACTCACAACCAGGAGTCCTGGTAAGACCATAGAGCGTTAGGGAGAGGAGGGATTACCATGCATTAAGTTAGGAAGGATGTTTTCTTGTAACTCTGTGAGCCTGGGAGCTCTCTGATTTTACAGTCAAGGCAGTTAGAACTCAGAGGAGGCACAGAATGAGAACAGGAGTCAGCAGTGGCATGGTCAAGGTTTGAACATGGCTCTGTTCTGTAATTCAGATCCCCTCCATGCCTGGATGTGCTCCTCCTGTAGGCTGCCCTGTTGCTAATGCTGCAGCGAGAAGAGGGGGAAGGGGGGTGTCTGGGGTGTGCACAGAGTCGCAGAAGTGAGCCATTAGGCAGGAGAGAGCCGCTGAGCGCATCTGGATGGGGGAGAGAAGCAGATGGCCCATCTGACGCCACCACGTCGTGGAAGTTTATGGTGGCGGCAGGTTCTCCTCCCTGCTGCGTTTATAGGGATGTCTTCAGGATTTCCTTTTTGATATATGAGAGAGACTCGTTGGCTGAGGCCCCCTCCATCAGAGTAAATCATGGCAAACCAGCGCAAGTGTTTGCACGGGCCCGCACCCTGTGCATGCTTTGGGATAAATCTTCTGAGTAACGTGCTTACACGTGTGACCCCGGAGACCAAACAGCATGAAAAGGTCAAGTGCGAAGGGCAGAGAGGAACTTGTCCTTTGCTCTCACTGCTCTGGACCAGATCAGGGAGCAGGAAGGTGGTAGGAGGGCAACCTGGTTTCTCAGGGCTGCCGAAATGGACACGTACCGTGAACTCAGGGACACAAAACTACAGAGATTTAGTCTCCTGAGGTTCTGGAGGCTAGAAATCTGAAATCGAGGTGTCAGTTGGGGTATGCTCCTTCTGAAGATTCAGAGGGGGTATCCATCTTCACGTCCTCCAGCTTCTGGGGCTTGCCAGCAATTCTTGGTGTTTCATTGGCTTGTAGACACATCCTTCCAAATCTGTCTCTGTAGTTATGAGGCAGGAGTTCCCCCAGCGTATCTCTGTCTCTGTATCCAAATCTCCCCTCCATTCCCTTCGAAAGACACCGGCCACCAAATAAGGGCCCGCTCTGACCAGTATGACCTCATCTTAACTTGGTGGCATCTGCAAAGACCCTCTTTCCAGATAAAGTCATATGCCTCAGCTCTTGATGGATAGGAATTTTTTGGGAGGGGGGACACTCTTTAAGCAACTAGGGCACTTCCTGTGTGAAGTTGGAGCTTGTCTAGAGGTAGGAGGGTCTTCCGAAGGTACACAGGCCCCTTTGGGGGATTTCCTTAAGATAACAAATATTCTAGCAGTTTCTGTTCATCCTGACAAACAGTTGGCCCCTATGGAGCCAGTGTAGGTTGAGTGAAAGCATTCCTTATAACCCAGCCACTTCGCTCCTGGGAAAATCCTCAGTAGAAATGAGTCCATGAGAATGTCCACAGCAGGGGCGCCTGGGTGGCTTAGTCGGTTAAGCTTAAGCGGTTAAGCGTCTGCGTTGGGGTCAGGTCATGATCCCGGGGTCCTGGGATCAAGTCCCGCATCCAGCTCTTTTCTCACTGGGGAGTCGGCTTTCCTCCCTTTCCTCTCTATTAGTGCTCTCTCACTATCTCTATCTCTGTCTCTGTCTCTCTCTCTCTCTCTCAAATAAATAAATAAATAAAATCTTTAAAAAAAAATAGAATGTTCACAGCAGAATTATTCATCTTGGCTGAAACTGGAAACTACCAAATGCCTGTCCTGGTAGATTGCAAAAATAGCCACAATCCTTTAGAGCCCATCTGATGAAGAAGCAGAGCCTGTTTCTTTTCCCTTTGAATCTGGGCTGGTCTTTAATTGGCATGGCCAATAGAACATGGCAGAAGTGACGCGTGCTAGTTCTAGGACTTCCAGAGGTCTTACACACTTCCCCCCTGCTCTCTTGGAAGTCTGTAGTCACCATGTGAGGAGTCCAGGCTGGCTGGCTGGCAGATGGGAGATGGGTGGGTTTTCCTAGCTCACGTCTTCCTAGACCAGCCAGCCCCAGCCACAGATGCAGACACATGTGTGAGCCCAGCAGAGATCAGCCCAGCCCAGCCCAGTGCAGCCCAGAAGAACCAGCTAGCAGATCCCAGTCCAAATCTACCAGCAGAAGGTGGTGCTAAATAAATAGTTGTTTTAAGGCACCAAGCTTTGGGGAGTTTTGTTACCCAACCAGAGCTAACTGATACATTATCAAGAGTAAAATGGTTACACTGTGGTATAGTCACCAGTGGAATAATACCCAACAAGGGTTACGAATGGACTACCACAACACACAAGGGGATGAATCATAGATGTCCTATAAGTTTCCCATAGCAGGGGGCATACTCTAGGATTCTATTTGTATACAATGTGCAGAGTAGGTGGAAGTGATCTCTGGTTAGGTAAGTCAGGATAGCAGTTCCCCTGGGGGACAGTGACTAGGACAGGGTAGGAGAGGGGACTTCTGGTAGCTGGTTATATGGGTATGTGCACTTGGTGAAGCTTTTTGAGCTGTAGACTTACAATGTACGCATTTTTGTGCATGTAGGTTCTACTTTGGTAGAGATGAAAAAAAATGCCAGATCTCTTATTTCTTTTTGAATTGCCAGAGAGCTGATGGGGCTGGGGGATGTGCTTATTGTATACAACCTGCCTCATTGTGGGGGTGGGGGGTGGGGAGGGATATGGTTAGTTAAGTTGACCTTGACTCATTTTAATGAAGTTCAGTTAAATCACTTATGACACGAGGCCAGTATATTAAGGACTTAACTCTTTTTTTTTTTAAAGATATTATTTATTTCAATCTCAAGTAGGTGGAGAGGCAGGCAGAGAGAGAGAGGAGGAAGCAGGCTCCCCACTGAGCAGAGAGCCCAATGCGGGGCTCGATCCCAGGACCCTAAAATCATGACCTGAGCTGAAGGCAGAGGTTTAACCCACTGAGCCACCCAGGTGCCCCTAAGGACTTAACTCTTGATTGACCAGTTGTTCCTTGCCTATAATCCCAACAACTTCTGAGCCATCTGGGATGTCAGGGTTGTGTCATAAAACCTGAATTGTGATCTTCATGTGACCCCAAGCAGGTCACCTAATCTTTCTGGGGCTCAGTGTCCTTAGCTATAAATAAATGGTGGTGGGGGGAGGTGTGGTGGACTTGGACAAAATGGGTCCCCTCTGCCAGCCCTAGGGTTCTAAGCTGCCCTTTGGGAGATAAAAACAACCCAAGCCCCAGGTCCTAATGGCTGCCATAGACTTTCTGGGTGACCCTGGGCAGTGCAGGCTTCCCTGCTTTATCTCCCTATCTGTGTGTTGAGTGGTTTGGTTCCATGGTTTTCTATTTGCAGGCCCTGGGCAGAGGCAAGCATTGGGGCTGTAGAACAGGACTGCCATCACCGGTTCCAGGAAGGAGGGCTTGCTTGGAATAAAGACATGCAAGATGGAAGCCCAGAAGCCTGAGGAGCAGGCAGTGTGCTTATAGCTTTGGGGGAGGGGTGCGGGCAGGGATGGGGCAGCTTTTCCTGCTGCATCCCCATTACTTCTTTCTGAACTTGTAGAGCATCCCTGAACCTGACTAGAGGGTGGGTGGTTCCAGCAACTGCAGGTGGATCTGGGGTGGGTGTGGGTGGGTATGCAGGGATGCCGAGAAGCGAGAATGGATGGAGAGACAGAATGAGAAGGACAGATAGGCACAGGGGCAAGAGAGAAAGCCAAGGAAGAGCATCACACTTGTATGCACCTGACAAATATTCACTGAGCCCATGCTAGGTGCCCAATGCCATGCTGGAGGCAGAGACGGAGGTGGAGAGAGAGGGGAACATGCAACACAGATGAGAAGAGATAGAGAGACAGAAAAAAGGACAGAGAAAAACCAAGACAGGTTTCATTCATTCATTTCACAGGTGTTTATTGAGCACCTACTATGTGTTAGTGGCAGACTCAGGGACGGAGAAGAGAGAAGCTGGTGGACTGTGTTTGTGGAGGGGCGGTGCCTTCTGGGTGAGAGCAGGATGGTCTGGAAGCATGCACACAGTCAGGTCTCCTGAAGACAAAGTTTCCTGGTTCTTCCTGTGGATGGACCCCCCACCCCGTCCGTCCTCTCTAAACCACCCCCTTCCTCTGCATTCCCCTTAGGACCTTGCTTGGTGTCCCTGAGCCTGGCGGCTCCCCAGAAGTGTCTGGGCAGCTCCCCAGAAGTGTCTGGGGGACTCAAAGAAACTACAGAGTCTTGGATCCCAACTTTGGCAATTTGGCTGTGGGGACGGGGCCCAGAGCCTGGGATTCTGTATTTCAGCAGTTCCCTCTGGGGCTCAGCAGGGGTAGGAGCCCAGGTGGTGGACACGTGTCCCCAGGGGGCCTCCCCTGGGGCTCCTGCTGCTGTCACCGCCACACACGTCCTTCTGCAAACACACACGGCCCATGATTGATTCTCTGCCGTTCCCCTCACAGCCCAGCGGGTCTGATTGAATGGCCGACGTGCTGCCCAAACACCCCGCTGGAACCACTTCCCTGCCCTCTGCCCCGGAAGTCGTTTGTTTGTTTTTAGACGTAGCCTTTATGTCCAGCTGAATGGCCAGCGGGCTCCTCGGAGCCGCCCATCAGAGCTGAAGATCGTCTGGGGCTGGAGCTGGCGGTAGTCCTGTGGTCACTCTGAGGACCCCGGGAAGGACAGCCGTGCTTCCTGCGAGAGGCGACTCTAGACTCACCCAGGCCTGTGTCCCATGTGAATACACACAGGGGCGGGGAGGGGGGGTGCACTGCAGCACTTGAAGGGCCATCTCTCCCTTTCTTTAACTGCTGTTGTGAAACACTGGAGCCAAGCTCCTGCATTCTAGCACCTTCGGTTCTGGTCTTTAGGAATGAACCCATAGCAACCTCTGTTGTGAAAAGGACAGGCTCTGCAGTTCAATAGACTTGGGCTTGAATCCCAGGGCCACCCCTCCTGCCCCTCAGCTTCCTTATCTACTTGGTGGGGATGATCAAACCAGCTTCAAAGGGGGGCTGGGAGGTTTCCTGACATCCTGGATGAGAGAGACATGCCTGGCATCGACCTAGCATGCACCAGGTGCTGGGAACCTCTCTTCCTCCCTCCTTTTCCCCCAACGAACATTTCTCTTGGTCTCTGCACCATGGCCTCCCTTCCCTCCTAGACCCCTAGAGAAAGGGGGAACAATGAGCCAGGAGTCTAGAACCCTGGGTCCTGATTCTCACTTTGCCGTACTCTGCTGTGAGACCTCAAGCCAGTATCTGCCCCTCTCTGGTCTGGTCGGATCATCTCAAAGGCCCTCTCTCATATTGGGTGTCCAGGTTGTGAATTCCTGGGGACACCGGAACTTTCTATGTGCTTTCAGCCTTGCCTGGGACACAGTAGGTGCTCTGGGAATGAACACAGAAATGTGATAAGTGGTTTATTAGCAATGCCTGGGCACCAAATTGTATGGATTTGGTTGGAGGGCTCTGGCTGTCAGGAGGGGCTCATTCTCCTGGGGTGGGGGCGGGGGGTGGAGCGGGGCTGGGTTGGGGTGGGGGAGGAGGAGAGGTTCTTGTACTTCTTATATTCATGGAAACCTTGAAATCTCAGCCTCCTTATTTTTGGTGAGGCAAAAAATGGGGATTGGGTGGGATTAGGGGGCCAGCTCTAGCTTCAGAGACCCCCAACCTTCTGTTGGGCTGGAAAGACACCTGGCCGTGCCCTTCCCTCCCCTCCAGGGCCCTCAGCCTGCCTTTTTCCTTCCTTCCTTTATGGGTATAGCAGGGCCTTGTACTCATCTGTTACTTCACCTCCTCCCCTTACCCATCCATCTACCCACTTGCCCCACAGGCGCAGCTGTGGACTTGCCCTGAGGGGCTCTGAGCCTGGTAGGGGTGACATCAGGTCGGGAGACTCTGATAATTCGGGGTGTTGGGGGTTGTGATGGGGACCCAGGGGGCGTGTGGGAGCCCACGGGGGGGCTCCTAAATCAGCCTGTGGTATTGGTTGTTAGGGCAGGCTGCCTGGAGGAGGGGGTGTTTGACAAAACGCCTACAGGAGAAGATGGGGTGAAGGTGAGGGGTGGGAGTGTTTGGGGTCAAGGGAAAGGAATAGCATGTGCAAAGTGCTGAGAATGGCATTCTCAGGCACCAAAGGCAGCTCAAAATGGCCGGAAATGGGAAAGCCAGCTATAGTAAGAACAACAGCAACCATCGCCTTCCCCAGATGCATTGTCTCACTGAGTCTTCCCAGCCATCCAACCCCATTTTACAGACAAGGAAACTGAGGCCTGGAGAGGTGGAAACTGGGCCTAGGCCCCAGGCTGCCTGAGGCTTGTCTGCTCACCAGGTGGAGGAACCCAGCTCCAAAGGGGCTGGAGAGGCAGGGTTGACAGGCTTCCTCCCAGAGCTCCACCCCACCCCCAGGCTGGGCTGGAGGCCCCGGGGAGGCCCTGCTGGTGGGGGCGGGGCGTGGGAAGGCTGTAAACTGGTTTGGGGCGGCAGGGCTTTCCTGTCGCTGCCGGTGGCCCCCGCCTTTGTCCTCATGTGTCACTGAGGAATGTGGCTAAGGTCTGGATAAAGGCATCTTTGTTTGGAGGCTTCAGGAGTGGGGGAGGGGGGAGGCTGGAGAAAGAGGGAGGAGCATGGCCAGGAAAGGGTTATAGTCCCTTCCTCCTGCCTGGCCCCGCCTCTGGCCTGGGCAGGCAGCACCCTCGCCCTGTGGACACCTACATCCTCTGTTTGACTCCAGATGCACTTCCTGACCTTAGTTCCCCAGTTGCCCTTTCTCCGAACCTCAGTCTCCACATCAGGGTAATGGGAGTCATCTTCCAACCTCTATGGATAGTTCTGAGGCTCCAGCCAAATAAGCCACACGGTTAACTGCCTTGGCCAGGGCTATTGATGAATGAGAAAAAGGCAGCCTAGAGAGTTAAGAAGACTGTGCTAAGGTCATGCAGCTTCACCTTGAAGGGGGGATGAAGTCAAGTGCTTGCTGAGGGTGGGTGAGCAGGGAGATGGTCACCTGTTTGTCTCCTTTTGCCAGTGGCTGGGCTCCAGGTGGGGCCTTTGGCCTCAGTGAGGAGTGACAGGAGTCACATGTATGTCTGTACTCTCTCATGGACGCCTCCTGAGGGTGGGCACTGGCTTGACCATTGGTTGCCAGTGTCCCCCAGTGCTGGCACAAGGCAGGCAGTGAAGCCCAGTGGTTCAAGCCACAGCCTCTGTGTGATCCCCGGGTGGTCCTGACCTTCTCCATGTTCCGGTCTCTCTCTCTGTGAAACAGATCTAACATGCGCACGCAGGTCACAGGGCTATGGGGCAAGTTCAAGGAAATAATGGGCCCAGAGTCTGGCCCAGAACCTGGCACTGGTTATAGGAGGATTAGTGGGACAGTGGACATCTGCTTGATGGCTACACAAAGGATTTTCTCAAGGTCACAGCGAGGGGAGCTTGGATCAGCCCAGGGCTCCTCCTAGCTCTTCCTGCCCAGGAAGGAAGGGTGTGAGTCCTAGAAGAGCTGCAGTCCTGGGTGGGACAGTTGAATGGAGAAGCAGGTAGCCTGAGCGGTCAACTTTAGCCTTTTGGGAGGAAGTGTTACGTGGGGCTGGAGCTCAGGGACATGTCTCCCCACCCCCTCCCCACGGTGACAGACTTGGACAGACAGATGGGACAGGGCTCAGCACGCTTAGTCATGGCCCAGATATAATCTTGTCCCCAGGGGCAGCTACCTCTGTCTTGCTCCCTCCCAGCAGCTGCAGCCAATCCCAGTAAATCCTAGCCTCTCTTTGCTCAGGGACTGTCTGAGCTCACTCCCTATGGATGCAAGAGGACATGGAAACCCAGAAAGGGGGAGCGATTGACCCAAAGCCACACAGCCAACAAGGGACACAATTATTCACTCACTCATCGACTTAGCAAAGATTTTTGGAGTACTAAGGGCAGGTTAGGTCCTTTAAGGAGGGCATTCCTGGAGGAGGGTTGGTTTGTGCAAAGATCTGGAGGAGTTCTGAGATGGTTAAGGGTGTGGGCGCTAGAGCTGGCCTGTTGGGTCAAATCCAGACTCTGCCACTTGTTGTGTGACCTTGAGCAAGGGAAAGAACTCTGTGCCTCCATTTCTTCACCTGTAAGCTGAAGACCTTCATAGTTCTTCCATCATGGGATGAAGGTGAAGAGGACCCCCAGATAATCCACCAGCGTGGGGCCTGGTCAACAGTACGTGCTCAATAAACATGAGCTGGTAAGAAGGTATAGAGAATAAAGGGCAACTGGACCTGGAGAACCATGAGTCAGAGGCGGGTGGGGAACGTCTGAAGCCCAGAGTGGGAGGTTGTGGCTCAGTTTGGGAGTTTGGGCAGCCACAGAAGGAGTCCTGTGGTCTGACTTGCTACTTTAGTGGGGGCAGGTGGGGGGCCCCTGAGGTGAGGGAGATGACTCAGAAGAGCAGTAAGAAGGGAACTGGGCATGAGCAGGGAAGAGAAAGAGGTGGAAGGGAAAGACCTGATACTTGTCTGGAGGTGGCAGGAGGAGGTGTCACCCGGGGTAACAGCCCTAGGGCTCTAAGGGAGGTCAGGAACGGTGGATGGAAAGGGGAGATGGAGTCCTTGACCAGCACGGGAAGCCCCTTCAGGAAGCCTCCTAGGAACCCCGTGATTGGTGGGGCTCAGTACAAAAATAAAAACCGCAGGGCTCCTTGTTCAAAAAGCAGCAATAGTGCCCATAAAGGTATTAAAGTATAAAGTCCTTTTCTTTCCTTCTGCCTGTCTTGTCTGCCCGTCTGCATTCTATGCCCCCACTGTCCCATGGGATGTCCCTTACAAAACACAGGTTCCAAGATAAAATTACTAAAAATTTTAAGAGGGTAACAGAGAAATGTGAAAACGGTGCAGGACCCTGCACTCAGGAGCACCCACTCTGCCCCGCCCCCCCCCCCCGCCCCCCAGGGCCTCGTGGGACTGCAGAGATCACACATCAGTGAACCCTGACTACGTCCATTTCTCAAATGAGCCTCCCAGAGGCTCAGGGAGTTAAACGAGGGGGACAAGCACCCTGGAATTCTCGTGCACTCCAGAGTGCCCTATATCTCCTCCCCACTCCCCACCATGCCTTCTCAGGTCTAATTTCCACAGACCAAAATCCAGAGGAGTCCAAGGCCATTTACCATAGAACACAGGAACTGTTAACACAGACGCAAAGGGAGAAGAAAGTTGCCCTGTAGAAGGACCCAGGCTAGACCCCGCTGTCTGACCTTGGACAGGCCACTATGTACCCATGGTCCCTCTCCAGAGGCAGGCTGGGAGCCCAGCACTCCTGCCCATAGGGGGCCCTCTGATCCAGGGTTAGCCTACCCCCACCCACATCCCTCCGTGTCTGAGGCTTGAAGCACTCATAAAAAATAAAACCACAGTCCCCCCAATGTGCTTGCTGGCTTCTCAGGCCTTATTTTTTTTGGCTGCTAAAGAGACTAATAAATGGCTTGCCACTTGACGTAATCATTAAGGGCTCCACTGAGCTGTGGGCAGTGTTTCCTCCCCTCCTTGGCCGGGCCTGGGGCGCCTAGCCATCGAGGGTGGCAGTGATGGATGGTGTCATCACGGGGCTTGCCCAGGGGGGAGTGCGGGTGGTGGGCGGGCATGGCTCTCTCTCCTGCGGGCTCCTG